ATGTAAATAAGGAACACGTGTGGTGCTGTGCGTTCTCCACCCAGACGTTGGCCGTTCAAACCCACCCGCTTGCCCGAGGGCGCAAGATGGGGCTGTCTGCTCCCATAGAGATGTAGTCTCAGAAATCCTATATAGGGCGGCCGAGCGTCCCACTCAGTGGCCGTGGGTTAGCGGAAGGCTTTCGCGCTTGCTTTGTGACGATGCCTTCTTCCTCGAAGTCTACATAATGACGTCGTCCGGTGCCACTGAGTCTGTTCTGGTGTGAACTCCGTCCTGGCTTCTAAGGAGTATTCGGGCTGTACTTCTTCCCCCAAAGAGTCGTTTGTTCTGACAGTCTGCGGCGCTTCCAGTATTTTTCACCAACACCATCATTCAGATAAATTCTTCCTCGGTCTTCCTTAGTCATGGTGCATCGAACACTGTGCACCGATGGGTGATGGGAAGACACCACGGCTTAGTCCTCAAAGTAACAGCTTGCTCTCCAGCGCGCTCTCACGAGGCCTTGTGTAGCACATCGGCCCGGCTCAGGAGCCAGTTAATTTCCCGAATGCTTGTGCATCCAAGTAAAACGAAATCCTTGACCAAGTCAGTCTTTTCTTCCTTTGCCATGATGTTGTCTTTTGACCCACGTGTGAGGATTTTTGTCTCTCTCCGTAGAATTGCAATTCATACTGAAGTCTTTGGTCGTTAAATCCTTGGGTTGTTTAACTTCAGAAAACGCGGTGGTGTCACCTGCATATTGAAAGTGGCTAGTGAGTCTTCCTCTAATCCTGATCCTGAGGGAGGGAGTTCTTCATACAGTACAGCTTCTCGGATTATTAACTTAGCCTACAGAAGAGTTAGGACAACCTGGATGCCCAGGTTCTGGAGTTCAAACCGGGCAGTAGCCCCTTGTTCTGTTGACAACTACCTCTTGGTACAAGTCCTGCATGAACACAATGAAGTGTTCTAGAACTCTTTGCAATGTTATCAGTGATTTTTATCTTTTTATGAGCCATACAGTACAATCCTTCCGCATAGTCAGTAAAACGGAAGTAACCATCTTTCTGGTATGCTCTGCCTTCAGCCACGATCCATCTGTCAGCAGCAGTGCTGTCCCTCATTGCGTGGCCTCTTCTGAATCTGTCACCTTCCTGCTGATGGACCGCTGCAACTGTTGGGAATGATCTCCAACAATGTTTTTTTACTCACATGTGATATTAATGCTATTGTTGGACAATTTCTGCATTCTGCTGGGTCAACTTTCTTTGTAATGGGCACAAAATATATATTTCTTCCAGTCTGTTGGTCAGGTAGCTGTCTCTCAGATTTCTTGAGATTTCTTAAGCAAGTGAGCGTGTCCACACACTGCCTCGGGTTTGCTGGCACCCTGTCGGTACTCCATCAATTCCTGGACCCTTGTCTTTGGCTAGTATCTCCAGTGCCATATGGACCTCTTCCCTTGTCCCATCAGTTCTTGATCTCATGCTACTTCTTTGTTTGTTTGAATAAGTCGTTTTACTGGGGGTTCTTACAGCGCTTATCACAGTCCATACACCCATTGTGTCGAGCACATTTGTACCTATATTGCCCTCACCCTTTTCAAAACATTTTCTACTGGAGCCCCTTTCTCCCTCCCCGCACTCCCACCCTCGTAAACCTTTGGCAGATTATCAATTATTCTTTTCATATTTTCTCCATCCACTGTCTCCCTTCACCCATGTTTCTGTTGTTTGTCACCCTGTGTGTGTGTGTTATATTGATCATCACGATCAGTTTCCCTTTTTTCGCTCAACCCTCATAGTGTCACTACTCTCATTATTGTTCCTGAGGGGCTTATCTGTCCTGGCTT